GTTGGATCTCCTCCCTACCTCTCCCCGAATCCTCCTAGTCTCCTTGCCCCACCTATCTTGCTTTCCTATTGGCCAACCATGCTTTATTCATTAACCAATAGGAGAGACATATTTACAGAATGACATCTCCCATCGCTTGTGGATGGTGGGAACCAAACTCCTCTGGAAGGGCAGCTGATCCATCATCTCTCCAGACTTCCATGAAACATTTGCAAAAGGCCTGTGAACTCAGATGCTGCAAGCTCTGGTTTCCCAGAGGCAGTGGAGACTACCAGGCTGTGAGGGCAGAAGAAGAGGGACACCGCGGTACGGGAGAGGGACACCGCGGTACGGGAGAGGGACGCCGCGGTACGGGAGAGGGACGCCGCGGTACGGGAGAGGGACACCGCGGTACGGGAGAGGGACACCGCGGTACGGGAGAGGGACACCGCGGTACGGGAGAGGGACACCGCGGTACGGGAGAGGGACACCGCGGTACGGGAGAGGGACACCGCGGTACGGGAGAGGGACGCCGCGGTACGGGAGAGGGACGCCGCGGTACGGGAGAAGGGGCCTGGTAGCTCTGGCGAGTGGAAGGCTCCCAGCAACTTATCAAATGCTGAAATTTAAAAAGTTGCATGCAAGCTGGGCAGTGGCCGCACATGCTTCTAATCTCATGTCTTGGGAGGCAGAGGCAGGCGGATCTCTGTAAGTTCTGGTCTGCAGAGTGAGTTCCAGGACAGCCAGGACTACACAGAGAAACCCTGTCTCGAAAAATAAAAGCAGGAGCAGAGAAAAGTTACAGCCTTGAGAACCCTGCCTCCGGAAGGTGGGCAGACCACGCAAACCCCTCAAGTCCCTCACAGAAACTGCACAGCAGTGGCAGGAGTGGGGAATTCTGGGAAGAAAAAAAATCTTAAAGAGAAGCCACCGTCAAAGGGGCAATCCCCCTAGGTCGAGGACCTGCCACTCTGGATTAATCTTTATGGGCAGACAGAGTTCAGGCCACATCTCCACCTGGAGGTGGATTCCATATTTTACATCTGTCTCAAAAAAAGGAATTGAGGTTTTAAACAAGAAAAGCCTCGGTTGGGGGAGGAAAAAAAAATTCTCCTCCAGATTGTCTGCTCCTGGCACAAGATTCTGGAAGTGGTTAAATTGGAAAGTGAACGACTTCTGTTTGTTTTGGGTTTTTGGTGTTTTGAGACAGGGTTTTTTCTGTGTCCTGTGTTTCGGGATTTCGATCCATTTAGCCAATGACTTTTGGGTCAACAAGCCCTGGGGCTTGGTCTTGTCTGCATTCCTGCCACTTAAGAGCTAAGGGAGAGGAACTGGAGAGATGGCTCACCCCTGGCCTTAAGAGCCCTGGCTGGCTGCTCTTACAGAAGTTCTCTTCCCACGGCAACTGCTTGGTGGCTCACAACCATCTGTAATGAGATCTGCTGCCCTCTGCTGGCCTGCAGGCAAACAGGCAGGTAGAACACTTCATAATAAATCTTTTCAAAAAGGAGCTAAGGGAGAGAGACCTCTCTCCTCTCTCTCTCTCTCTTTCTCTCTCATATTGGGGCCAGAGTAAGGAGTGGTTGCTTCCTGGGCAGAACAGCAGGACACAGCAGCTGGATCTTGGTGGCGTCTATTCTGTTCTGTATCAGTGAGTGTTTATCCCTATCTTATACCTAAATAAATTCTTGAGACCCTTTAACAGACTCTCATGAGTTCATGTAACAGCCTGGCTGTCCCGGAACTCGCGCTGTAGACCAGGCTGGCGAGATCTGCCTGCCTTTGAGAGTAAAGAAAGGCATGTGCCGCCACCACCCACCTCGAAAAACAACTTTATATAAGATGCCACATGTTGGGGGCCAGCAAGATGGCTCAGCCACCAAACATGAAGACCTGAGTTCAATTCCTGGGACCCAAATATTGAGAGAACTGAGTCCCATAAGTTGTTCTCTGACCGCCACACGAGAGGTATGGCAAGTATGGGCACACACAAAATAAATGTTTTTTCTTTCTTTCTTTCTTTTTTTAAATAATAATAATCTGGTTTTCTAGTACCTCAACCACCCAGAGCTGAAAGCCTGGCGATGGAAGACTGGGGCTGCCCGATCTGCGCTGTCTGCTTCAGCTTCGGCACCATATGTGGCTCAGCCAGTCCGCTCTGCATCCCGTCGCCCTCCACGCACTGGTATCCACCTCCTCGGCTTAGTGCCAAGATGGTTGCTGCATTCCAGCCATCGTTTCAAGATTCCCGGCGAAGAAGCCAACCTCTTCTTCCATCGGCCTCTGGCAGCATCCGCCCTCTGGTCTCATTGGTTTGCTTCTTGCTCTGTTTTCATCCTCTAAATGTTATAATACACGTTGACATCTTCCTCCTCCTCTTTCTTTTATTTCTGAGGCAGGGTCTCCCTGCATAGCCCTGGCTGTCCTGTAACTCAGAGATCAGGCTGCCTCTGCATCCAGAGCGTGGGATTAAAGGTGTGCGTCACCAGGCTTGGCCACCTGCCCTTATTATTTATATTGCTTTACAGGCCCTCCTGTCCCCACCTCCCCGGTGTAGGGATTACAAACACATATCACAGCGCGTGGCTTTTTTTTTTTTTTTAATGTGGATACTGGAACTCAAACTCAGATCCTGAAGCTTGCAAAAGAAGCACTTTACCACCCCACCCCACCCCCCACTCCACCATCCCTACAGTGGTTCCATGTCAGCCTACATGGCAGATATTGGCATTATGATTCCTAACAGTAGCACAATTACAGTTATGAAGTAGCAAGGGAAATTTTATGTCTGGGGGTCACCACCACTTGAGGAAATGTATTAAAGAGGGTCGAGAGCCGCTGCTCTAGAGTTAAAATAAAATTGCTGCACTGTCTACACCCACTCCATGGCAGGCAGAAACATGACAGCACTGCACCAAGACGGATGGGGGGTGGCGCCATCCTGTGGACACTACCGAGAAGCCCTCCAGGTATAGAGAAGGTGTGGGAGGAGGGTCTGCAGGGCATGGGCGGCGGGCAGGTCCAAAGGGAAAGTTAAAATCCATGCTGCAGAATGCTGGCAGCTCTGGCTGCTACTCCAGGCAGAAACAGGAGGGGGCGATGTGGAGTCACATTTCTCAGAAGAGTGGGGGACACTTGCACCAAGTGCCAGCGGCCATGTGGGTTAGCAGGGATACTGGGGGCTCCTGGCAGGGTTGCCCACGTGGTCTAGCAGGCTGTGGTGAGGCTCACCTGTAATCCCGGCACAAAATGCCACAATTCCTGATCGCCCCAACGTAGAGGGACTAAACGACATCCATCACCTCCTGCCACCCCATGACAGGCACCCAGGAGCCAAGCACACTGCCCCCAGTGGAAATGCTCTGCAGGGCCAGAAATGTCTCTAGAGCAGAAACACCCAGTGCTGCCTTCCTCCTGTCTCTAGATCATCTCTTTTCAATAGAACCTTCTGGAAATGTTATGTTTCCATAATGCATGTGGCTAGTGAATTCTTGAAAGTGGCTGACTTGAGGAACTAAATCTAATTTGTCTTTCTTTTTTCTTTTCTTTTTTTTTTTTTTTTTTTTTTTTTTTTTTTTTTGTGACAGTCTCTCTATGTATAGTCCTCGCTGTTCTGGAACTTACAAGTGATCCACCTGCCTCTGCCTCCGCCCTCAGCATGTGTATGAAGGTCAGGGGACAGCCCGTGTGACTTGGTTTCCTTCTTTCCGGTCGTAGGCATGGTGGCAAGTGCCTTTAGCTCACTGCCCCCAGCATACGTTTTGATGGCTTCGACCCTCCATACCATCCCGCCAACCTTCTCCCACCATTTAAAAATTTTAGTTATTTCTATTTATGTTCCGTCTGCCTATAAACAGCCAGTGTAGCTTATTATTTCAGTATGGAGGCAGCCCCGAAGGTTCCACCCCAAGCGCAGTATAGGCAGAGCTCAAACCCGGGCCGAACTGGAGGAGAACCGGCCTCACGAACTCTCCTCATTCCCTAATGCAGCCCTCCCCAGATTCCACAGTTCCCACAATGCACCTGGGTGACCAGCTCAGCCTCAGCCCCTTTGTGTGAGCTGGGCAGCCTGGGGAACTCGCCCGCCCACCATTTCTCCCGACTCCAGGTCGCCTCTGTCAGGGAGCCCTCCCTTCTGCTTACGCTGGGCTCCCCACTCGGTTTTCATCTCTCCTCTGATCGCAGCGTGGCTGGGGATGGGTCTGAGGGGTGGAGGCAGGGAGGACCCATCTTAGGCCACGTTAGGTCACAGGCTGAACACGGAGATTGGACGCTGGATTGAGTGGATGAATACTTTTGAGAAAAACAAAGCAAACAAAACTAAGCATGGGCTGACAAGATGGCTCAGAGGGTAAAGGTGCTTGCCGCCTGCTTGATGACCAGAGTTTGATTCCTGGGACCCACACGGTGAAGCAAGGAACCACACACACACACACACACACACACACACACACACACGTACGCACAATAAACAAGTGTTAAAAGAAAAAGTTAAGACGGGCATGGCTTTAACCCCAGCACTCAGGAGGCAGAGGCAGGCAGGTCTGCGTGAGTTCAAAGCCAGCCTGGTCTACACAGGACAGCCTCCATAGAGACACCCTGTCTCAAAAAACAGGGTGGGAGGAGTAAATGAGTGAATAAAATAAATAAAACATCTCTGCTACTCGCTGACTCCCCAGGTTCCCCGGAACTTCAGCTTCCCCCATCCTGACTTCTGGGAAAGGTAGGGGGGGGCGGAGGGGAGGAGACATTACCCAACCAGAGGCCACCTTGCTGTAGCCTGCCAGGCTGAGTGGGAAGAGAATGAAGGGGCAAGGGAGGATGCCTGGAAGTCACCCTGGAAGACTGGTCCAACCAGTGGGAGTGTTTCATCTCAGGGATGGGTGGAGACTGGAAGGAAATGCTGGGGCTCAGTGGCTTCACAACAGCCTGGCTGTGTCCTTGAGGCAGCCCCTGATGCCCTGCTGAACTTCACTCTCCAGAGAGCCAGACCCAACCCTGTGGCTCTCAGTGACTTTGACGTCTGTACAGGAAGCAAGATGGAGATCCATACCCAGACCCCAGGCTGCTTCCCAAAGGGCCTCCTGTTCTCAGGTAAGGCGGAAAAAAAACCTCCGAGGGCTGAGGGGCAAGAAGAGACAGGATAGTAGAATTACATCTCCATCCGAGCTTCATCTATGAAACTTTCTAGAATGTCAGAACTAAGAGGGTGAGGAATTTGTTTGCTTCCCTGCTGTGCTCTGGGGAGGGGGGTGGGGATTAGGGACAAGAGCCCAGACTGGTGCTGAGTCAGTCACACCTAGAATCCCAGCATTTGTTAGGTAGAAGGACATCCTGAACTACGTAGCTAGTCCAAGCCTAACCTGGTCTACTTGAGACCTTGTCTCAAATAAAAGTCTAGGGAAGAGCCAGGCATGATGGTGCATGTCTGTAATGGCAGTACTTTGGAGGCTGAGACAGGAGACAGGAAGATCATAGGTTGGAGCTGGACTAATAGTGAGTTCTGGACTAACCTGGGCTATGTAGTACAACCTTGACTCAAAAAGAAAGAAAGAAAACAACAACAACAAACCTTGGAAATTTTAGGCCTATGATGTAATTGGTGTGATAACTAACACATAATAGATATGCTTTTAAATATTAGTTGAATGAGTGAATACAGAAGGTCCATGTGTTTAGGAACAGACCATATAGCATCTCAGGACAAAACAAAACCTTCTGCCAGTGGAGTGGCAGATCTGTGCCATCTGTGCCTGTATTCCCATTCCTGCACCCAGGGCAGACATCACTAATCAATCTCACCGTTGATCCCAATGGGCAGCCCCCAGAGTCCTTGCTTCCAGTTGAGAGTCTGTAGAGAGGAGGGTTTTGCTTTCTCCACCCAAACTCAGGCCTCCTCCATACCTTCCCGCAGCCTTGATCCTGGCTCTCCGGCTGCCCCAAGGCTCCCAGGCAGCCCTCCACATCCAGAAGATCCCAGAGCAGCCTCAAAAGAACCAGGACCTTCTCCTGTCCCTTCATGGGGTCCCCAGCACCATCCAGGACTTTATCTGGTACCTGGGAGAGGAGACTAATGGGGGCACAAGGCTATTCTCTTACATCCCTGGGCTACCGCGGCCCCAGAGGGATGGCAGCGCCATGGGACAGCGAGATATCCTTGGCTTCCCCAATGGCTCCCTGCTGCTCCGAGATGCCCAAACTTCAGACAGCGGCACCTACCAAGTGGCTGTCACCATCAACCCTGCCTGGACAATGAAGGCCAAGACTGAAGTCCGGGTGGCTGGTGAGTGAAAGGCTGTGGTGGGAGGAAGGCCATGTGCAAATGCCATTTTCGTTTGTCCCCCTCATTCATATGCAAATTGTGCATCGATTGAGCACCTACTATATACCAGACCCCATTCCCTTAGTTCTTCCCATATATTGATTATTCCCATATTTACTGAGCACTCTTTTTTTTTAACCCTGATGAATTGCTTAATTTTAAAAAACAAGACAAATATTTATTGATGTTGCTGCTCCAAGTGAAGGGCTAGGTGTCAGGGTCGGGGTGGGGGGAGGAATAGTGACATCTAACACTTCTTGGGAACCTTGCTGGACCAAGTATGATACTTTTTGTTTGTTTGTTTGTTTGTTTGTGATAAGGTTTCTCTGTATTGCTTTGAAACTCTGTAGACCAGGCTAGCCTCTGCCTCCCAAGTGCTGGGATTAGACACAGGCACCACCACCGGGCCCAAGTATGATACTAAATATTTTCTTTTTTCTTTTCTTTTCTTTTTTTTTTTTTTTTTTTTTTTTTTTTTTTTTTTGTTTTTTTTGTTTTTCGAGACAGGGTTTCTCTGTATTGTTTTGGAGCCTGTCCTAGAACTAGCTCTGTAGACCAGGCTGGCCTCAAACTCACAGAGATCCACCCGCCTCTGCCTCCCGAGTGCTGGGATTAAAGGCATGCGCCACCAACACCTGGCCAATACTAAATATTTTCTGTAAATCAGGCTGACCATCAGGACTGGCTGATAGCTTGGACTGGAGGCTGTGTATCTCAGAGAAGCCTCTCTGGTCTCACTAGACATTACTAGTGCTTGACACTGTCAAGGACCACAGATGGCACCAGATTTTGCCAAATGCCCCACCAGAACCACAGCCACACTTCTGCAGGAGGACCACTACAATACAGCAACTCTTTGTCACTTAAAGAAGCTTCCTGGTGCAGTCATCCTGCTGTCTCCATTTTAGATGGGGGATCTGAGGCACAATGGCTTGAAAAATTAAACAGACTAACATGGCACAGAAAGGGAGGCCATTAGAGAGGTCTTGCTGGAGAAGATAACAGTTAGGTGTCACCCAGCACTGGGGAGGCTGAGACATGGAGATGGGGAATTCTGAGCCAGCCTGGGGGATGCAAAATGAGTTCCATTCAGACTGGGCAACCTAGCAGGACTTTGTCTCAAAAATGTCAACGGGGTCAGTAAGATGGACTAATTAAGATCCCTGGGATCCCATGGTAAAAGGAGAGTTCTCCTTTAAGATCCACTTGCAATTGCAATGCGGGCATATGAATAAATTAATTAATTAATGCAAAAAAAGAAAGATAAGCATGATTCAGTCTGATGGTTTCACAGAAGAACAGTGTAGTCTTGGTGCTCTACCACCAAGCCACACCCCCAGCCCCTCACTGGGGGATTCTAGGCAGGAGCTCTACCACTGAGCCACGCCCCCAGCCCCTCCCTCACTGAGGGATTCTAGGTAGGGGCTCTGCCACTGAGCCATGCCCCAGCCCCTCACTGGGGGATTCTAGGCAGGGGCTGTACCACTGAGCCATGCCCCAGCCCCTCACTGGGGGATTCTAGACAGGGGCTCTACCCCTGAGCCACGCCCCAGCCCCTCACTGGGGGATTCTAGGCAGGGGCTCTACCACTGAGCCATATCCCAGCCCATCACTGGGGGATTCTAGGTAGGGGCTCTGCCACTGAGCCATGCCCCAGATCCCTCAGATGCTGCTAACTCTATCCTGGTGTACATGCAGTGTCACTGATGTGGTATTCTTTTGATCACAAGCCAGTCAGTGTTCCACATTCAAATGAGAGCGATGAGCCAGACAGTGGTGGCAACCACCTTTAATCCCAGCACTTGGGAGGCAGAGGCAGGTGGATCTCTGTGAATTCAAGGCCAGCCTAGTCTACAGAGCCAGTTCCAGGACAGCCACACGGAGAAACTGTCTCGGAAACAGAGAAGGCTTAGACCCTCCTGCGTCTCAGAATAACTAGTCAGCCATAGCACAGAAAAGCCAAGTGTGGGAGACATTGTTTCCACCTCTGCTTAGGAAACTAAAATGTTTCACAGGCTCAGTTGATAAACTCACTGTGCTCAAGAAAGCAACAGGTTGCCAGTGGGAAACAGTTCAATCGCTGACAGGAAGAGCTGGGGACTCGGAGCACCTTAAACATCAGCCCAGGGCCTTAAGCCCTGCCTGGGTTAAGCTATCCTGATGTGAGGCAGGAAGATAGAAAGTGTGAGGCCAGTCTGAGCAACTTATTGAAATCCTCCCTCAAAGGTGCAGAAAAGGGGGCGGGGGGAGGAACTCACTCTGTAGACCAGGCTTGAACTCACAGAGATCCACCTGCCTCTGCCTCCCAAGTGCTGGGATTAAAGTCATGCGCCACCACCACCCAGAAAAATGATTGATTTTTAAAAAATTATTTACAAAGCTGTCAGAGAGCTGGCCCACAGACAAGAGCACTGATTGGGCTTCCAGAGGACCCGGGTTTGGTTCCCAGCACCACAATCAGCTGGAGCTCCAGTTCCAGAGCGTCCAATGTCCCCTCTTGTCTCTGTAGGCATGTAGTATGTACATAGTACTCAAACATACACACAGGCAAAACACTCATATGCATACAGTAAGAAAATTTGTTTTGTTTTGTTTGTTTTTCAAGTCAGGGTTTCTCTGTGGCTTTGGAGCCTGCTGGAACTAGGCTGGCTCAAACTCAGAGATCTCCCTGCCTCTGCCTCCCAAGTGCTGGGATTAAAGGAGTGTGCCACCAACTCCTGGCTTTGCATACAGTAAGAATTTTAAACACCAACTTACATAGCCTGCACATGTGGCTCTGTTGGCAGGATGCCTCTAGCATACACATGAAGGCCTGGGTTAAATCCCCAGCAACAGATAAACTGTACTTGGTAGTGCACATCTATAATCCTGGGAATGGGCAAGTCTTAGAGGCGGGAAGATCCCTGGGATTTTCTGGCCAGCCAGCCTGGCCAGGGGGTGGACTCCAGGATGAATGAGAGACACCATCCCAAAAAACAAGGTAGAAATTGAGGAAGACACTTGACATCAGCTTCTGGTCTTCAACTGCATGCATCCACGTGTAAACACACACACACACACATGCATGCACATGTGTGTATGGACAAATACAAAAAAGGTCAAGGTTATCCTTAGCTACATAGTAGAGTTGAGGCCAGCCTGGCTATATGAGACCATATCTCAAAATTACATTTAAAAAATGATAATTTACAAAACTGGGCTGAGAATATTTAGCTCAGTGGTAGAGCCCCTGCCTAGAATCCCCCAGTGAGGGGCTGGTGGCGTGGCTCAGAGGTAGAGCCCCTGCCTAGAATCCCCCAGTGAGGGGCTGGGGGTGTGGCTCAGAGGTAGAGTGGGTTGCCTAGCATGCACAGCACGGCATTGTAAAGTAAATTATTAGGAGAGGACAGACAAAGGCCATCACTGCTACAATCCTCTCTCCCAGATACACGTGAATACTCAGTCACCACACACCTGCCTGTTAATGCTGGGATCATGGCTGCTACCATCATTGGGAGCCTTGCTGCGGGGTCACTGTTTGTAGGTGGCATTGCTTACCTCCTGGTCACGCGAAGGTGGAAGGGCCGGAGCCCCAGGTACAGGTTCCAGATCCCCCTCTATGTCCCTCTCCTTCCCCTCTAGGTTGTCTTCCCCAGGCGGGGTCAGTGTCAGATCAAGTGGGAGTCGGGGGGGGGGGTAGAGGCTCCAGGTTCTTGGGGTCCCCCACCCCAACATCTCAGGGTTCGTCTATGTACCCCCAGGGTTCCAGCTACAGAGCAGCCAGAACTGAACACTAGCCCTGAATCTGGTAAGCCGGAGCAAGCGTCTGCTCCCCCAGGCTTTCTGTGCCACCCTCTCGAAGGCCTCCAGCCCCACACACAGTCAGAACCCACTGGGACCCTTGGTCTCACCGAGGGGACGTAGAGGGTTAAGGGCCCCCTTCCTAAACCTCCAGGGTCCCTGCTTCTAACAGGTGCCCTGCTGAGAAGCCTTCCGTCCCAGTACCCGGGACAATCCTCTGTCTCCCTAGCATGGCTCACAGGTCCCTCACTCTGCAAACTGTGGGCTCTCCTGCAAGCACACTGCCTCTGCCCACTTCTCCCTTCTCACTGTGTCAGGTGATCCCTCCTCCAGGTAGTCCTCCCTGGTCAGGCACCAGCTACCGCGTTCCCACAGCGCCCCCACCCCCCACCCCGCTCCCAGCCCTCTGGCTCATCACAGTCTTGGGACTTCACACAGTAGGAGGGCACTGCCCGGATTGTCTGTCCAGCTCACGGTTGGCTGGAGGAGGGGTATGCATTGCATGTTGGTTGGGTGACTGAGTGGATGAAATGGACAGACCTACAGGAGCCCTCTGTCATTGGGACCCAACCCCCTTCCTCCTCTTCTTCAGGTGACAGCAACATCTATGAAGTGATGCCATCTCCCGTCTTCCTGGTGTCCCCCATCAGTGACACAGAGCCAGTGAACCTAGCCATGGTGAGTCCTGTCTGCTTAGAGCTTGCTCCTCACAAGTCCCTGAGTTAGCCGTGGCCCCTGGACTGCTGGGGACCACACTCTCCTTTTTTCTCTCCCGTCCACTCAGTCTTTCTTTCTTTCCTCCCTTTGTGTTGGGGAGCACATGTGGCGTGGCAGGACACACGCGTGGAGGTCCGAGGACAACTTGTGGGCGGCAGTTATCTCCATCCATCATGTGGAGGCTGGGAATCAAACTCAGATTATCAGGATTAGTGGCAAGCCCCTCTCCCGACTGAGCCATCTTGCCAGCCCCTCTCTCCAATGCTTATGCGTCTCTGCAATGCAGAAAGGGCCTAACAACAGCCAACACAGGGTCCCACCCAAGCCCAGCCGGTGGAGCAGTGAGCTTTCGGGGTTACATACAGGGTGGGGGTAATTCTAGCAGCCAAACCCTAGCACAGGTGACAACTCAAGAAAGCACACAGTTTGCAGGCAGAGCCAACAAAGAACCATGGTTGCCTAGCAGCCATCATCCCAGCACTTGGGCACTGAGGCAGGACAGCCAAAGCTTTAAAGTCAGCCCCCAAGTTCGGGGTGAGGCTGGGCTACACTGAGACCCTGTCTCAAAAACATCAAAAGTGGGGCCGGAGAGATGGCTCAGCACTTGCTTGCTACTGAGGACCCAAGTTAGGTTCCCAGCCCCCACTTTGGGCAGCTCACAACCAGCTGTAAGTGCAGCTGTGGCAGACCTGAAGCCCTGTACCAGTCCTCAGTGGACAAACACATGCACATGGCACACACAGGCACACACACACACACACACACACAGACACACATACACACACACACTCTCAGACACATACACACCCACACACAGACAGACACACACACACACACTCACACATACACAGTGACACACATACACACCACACACAGACACATACATATACCACACACACAACACTCTCAGACACATACACACCCACACACAGACAGACACACACACACACACTCAGACATACACAGTGACACACATACACACACATACACACCACACACAGACACATACATATACCACACACACAGACACATACACACACATACACACTCTCAGACACATACACACCCACACACAGACACTGACACATACACACACCACATACAGAGAGACACATACATATACCACACACACACATAAACACATATACACACAAACACACACACATACAGAAACACACACAGGCACACACAAAGGCATATGCACATAGACACATACACAGAGTCTCAGGCAGACACATGACACAGACACATACACACACACACACACACACACACACAAATGAAAATTTAAAACAAATCAGGAAAACAATGAGCCAGGGAAATGACTGTACGCAAAGGATCTTGCCCTCTAACCTCAGTTCTGCCCCTGGAAACCACATCAATGCCGGAGAAACTGATTCCACGAATTCATCTTCAGACCTTTGTGTGTATGCTGTGACACACACCCCTACATGCAACAATACATATTTTTTTCCTTTTTTTTCAAGATAGGGTTTCTCTCTGTAACCCTAGCTTTCCTGGAATTCACTCTGCAGACCAGGCTGGCTTCGAACTCACAGAGATCCTCCTGCCTCTGCCTCCCAAGTGCTGGGACTAAAGGAGTGAGCCACCACCGCCCAGCTAGCAAAGGCTAATTGTTCAAGCCCCAGTGTGGGGGAGAAGCTAAGCATTAATGATGGGATTGGTCAGCATCTGAGCACCCCAAAAGCCCTCATGTAAGGCCCCCACTGCCTAAAGTGCGTTGACCTGCAGGGGTGAGTCCCCTGTCCTGAGGGCCCTCATAATCCAAGGGCCCGTGGGGACTCTGAGACCAGGCATGCATGTCATACCACCAGGGCCTTTGGTTGGGGGGACACAGGGCACCCCTCACCTTACCCCTCTCTTTCAGAGCCGGCCTCCATTCCCATCCCAGCAACCACAGCCCCAGAGCCAGTACTACCAGGTAGGAATTGGGGAGCAGCAACCAGGGGCAGGGAGGGTCAGACGACCAGGAGTAGGGCTCCTCCCTCCCCCCAGGAAAGCGCCTCGGTGAAATCTGTTTCAGCTTCCTTGAGACTGACCCCCCTGAGCAAGCCCCTTACCTTCCTGGGCCTGGACCTCCTCCTCTGTAAAAATGGCCCAATGTTTCAAACCTGGAGGGGGTAAGCAAGGCCCAGAGTGGGAAAGGAGATTGCCCGGGGTCACACAGCAGATCAGGCCAGGCCTCAGTGGAGCCCCACTGCATGATGGGACCCATTTCTGGACTGGCTCTCCTGTCTCTCCAGTTCCCTGCTGGGTGGCCCTGAGCTCCGTCTGTCTCCTCAGAGTCTGTCTCATCCATGGGTGTGTTTCTCTGCTCTTCTGGGCCTCCTCTCCCTCCACCCCTCCCTCTCCCCCCTCCCTCTCCCTCCCCTCTGTGTCTCCCATCTCTTCAGCCCCCCCCCATATCTCCATTTCCTCATGTCTCTCGCTCTCAATCCCTATCTCGGTTTCTTCACGGCTCATCTCCCTTTTCCTGACCGGCCTTGACCCTGCCCGTTACTTTTTGTCCATCTTTCCTGCGCCCCCTAGCACCCCCCCAAACCCTACTCCCGTTCAGTCTCCCGGTTCCATTCTGTCTGCCCCCCACTGGCACCCCACCCCTCCACCCCTCCTAGCCCTCACAGTCTGTCTCCCGCCTCCTCTTAGGACCTACTAAACCCCGACCCAGCCCCGTACTGCCAGCTGGTGCCAACTTCCTGACAGGCTTGGGACCAGGCCTGCCCAGAAGACAGAACCTCTGCCTCCCCCCGACCCCACCCCTCAGGGCCTCACACCTGCAGAAAAGACACACGTGACACCCCCAGGCCAAAGCTGTGAGACCTGGCAAGATGTGCTGGCCCAGCATCTCATGGGGCAGGTGCCCGGCGGCACGGGGGACTGACCCCAATAATCGTCAGTCTGTGCCTTAGCACCCTGCGGGCCATCTGCCTAAGAAAGCAGGCGCTTGCTGCCCCGGGGCCGGGGTCTCCATCCATGGGAGAAGGCCTTAGGTCTATGTCAAAGGTATCCCACCTTGAAATCCCATGATGGCTCAACCAGTTACCCGGAAGCACTTTCCTTGGGAAGAAAACACTGCCAGGACATTCCGGAAGAGTGGTTCTCAACCTATGTGTGGCAACCCGTAGTGGGGGAGGAGTGTATGTGAGTGTGGGTGTGGGCTTCCAGCCACCGGGAGAACCGGAACCACACAGTGCCTGCCTAGATCCCAACCATGAGGGGCTGGGGCGTGGCTCAGTGGTAGAGCCCCTGCCTAGAATCCCCCAGTGAGGGGGTGGGGGCGGGGCTCAGTGGTATTGTGCTTGCCAAGCATGCATGAGAGGCCCTGTTCAATCATCCAAACCATGGTGGGGGCAAGGGTCAGAAAAGAAATCATCAGCCACTGGGAAGAATCGACAAGCCCTGCACTTGGAAATGGGAGAAATCTCTGGAAGCCTGAAAGCTCAAGGAACTGCATTCCCCTCGCCCCCAGCCCCCAGAAGCACCCAGCCCTGAGTCCTCTGGGACCACAGGGCAGTGACATCCACTTTGGACTCCCGATATCCACGATTTTTTAAGACAATAAACTGGTGTTGTTTTAAGCCTCTCATTTGGTAGCAGTTTGTTCTGCCCAACAGGAAAAGAGGATGCTGAAGGATCCCTGGGTGGGGAAGTCACAGCCCCAGTCATTGGCAGTATGCAAATGAGCCCCTCCAGGGACTTCCCCGGCCTAGATCTCACACAACTGGTTTCTGGCCTCAGTCTAGAGGACTGAACGAATGAATAAATGAAACGAGGCTTAATTCCTTTTTTTTTTTATCTTATTTTTTTTAAGGCCCTGGCTTGCCTAGAGCTCACAGACATCCACCTGTCTCTGCCTCTTGACTCTTGAGTGCTGGACTAAAGGCATGCACACTGCATCTGGCCAAATTTGTAATTGAAACAACCAACCAAACAAACAAAAGATTGGTGGATTGTGGTTTTCCAGTTTCACCAAATGATGTTCAAACCATGCTCTTGCTCCCTCTTCTGGCCACATGTAGAACTGCACATCAGCAACCCTTAATTAGGGTGCAACAAACGTGACTTCCTGATTGATGAGATGTGGGCGGAAGCAGTACTTTTCAGATGTGTTATCACTTTCCCTCCCTATTCCTGTCAGTGGCTGGTCCTGTCAGTAGTTCCTGAGTGAGCCCACATAATTCTCCTGACCCTTGTCACATCTGCCTACCTGAGCCATGCTGTGGGTCAAACGGGGCTGCTTATTACTGCAGCATAACCCAGATCACCCTGACCTCAGACGAGGTCTCCTCGACATAAAAACTACATTTCCCAGATGCCCTGGCAGCTCGATCGTGTGATTTAGATCAAGGACAACCAAATATGGACAGAAGTTTTATAAACAATTCACGGAGAGGTCGTCTTCCTTGACAAGAAGCAGAGTAAGTGAAGGAGTTGGGTTTCTGGGGTGCTGTAGACAGCGTTCCTATGCCAGTTTCATAGTAATCTGAACGAGAAAGACTCCCTTGAGTAAGCCATTTCTTTAAGGCATCTAGTATTCCCAGCTTGCTTTCTTTTCTCCTTCCTTCCTTCCTTCTTTAAGAGGGCTTCTCCGTGTATCCCTGGCTGACCTAGAACTCACTCTGTAGACCAGGCTGGCCTCGAACTCACAGAGATCCGCCTGCCTCTGCCTCTTTGGGGTTTTCTGGGATTGAAGGTGTGTGCCACCGCGGCCCATCATCCAGTTCTTTCCAAGCAGCATTTTTCCAGATAAGGTCCCTGAGCCTGACCATCATGCCTCGTCCATGGGACAGTCTGGGGATGAGTAAGTTTGTTAAGCATACAGCAAGACAAAGTAAATGAATAAATAGCAAGGGAAAGGTATGTGGTAGGACATCGTCAAATCATCTACTCTGATGCTCACACATCCCACCGGTGACATTAGGTATCAACTGAGCTCCTGGCTTTCGCTTTTCCCACCGCAGACACTTTTATATCAGGAAATAAAGGATAGTGTCCTGGGGCTGGAGAGATGGCTCAGGACTAGAGAGCCCATCCTTCTTTTCCAGAGGATCTGAGTCCAGTTCCCAGCATCTTCATCAGGCAACTCACACCTGCCTGTGACTCTTGAAGTCACAGACACATTCACACAATAAAAAACAAATAAGAATATTAGTTCCTTGGAAACGCTCTGTCTTCTGGCTGTCCTCAAGGACACGATGCTTTTACTCTCTTAGGCTATTCTTGCTGTCCTTTTTCCTCCCTATCACAGAGTTGGGAGGCGCGAACCTTCCCATAGACAGGAGGCCATGGGGACATTTTGAGACAAACATGCTGGGGTCTGAAATGTGAGGCAGGCGGTTCTGCCTCCCGAGAGAGCTCGAACAGCACATGGCGATTTACCAATACAATGTGCACTACACCCGGTCACCTCATAGTCCCCTCCCCCGATCTAAGGCAGGGCTTTATGTAGCCCAGGCTAGCCTCAAATATACCTGAGAACGACCTTAAACACAGGACCCTTCTCTTCCCCAATGCTAACATAACAGACTTGTACCACCACACCTCCCTGCCTCAGCCCTGACAGAATGGTGACCCCCTCCCTACTCTTATTCCAAATGTGACAACTTGGCGTCATGTAGGCATCTTCAGTTACTCTTCGTAGGAGGAAAAAGCAAGGAGAGTGGACGTACACACATTGATTTTATTTCTAAATCCCCGAGCTGGAAGTACAGAGTCCACCCGCGTTTTATTGGCTGAAGCAGGTCACGTGGTACAGGGTCCTGCAAAGGCTACTCTGGCCAGAAGAGGGAGCCCGGGAGCAGCGTACAAAGACAACATCTTGGGACTCAAACCCCGATCCCAGTCTTCTGACAGCAATGTCTAAGCAGGCCTGCCCTGCTTCATCTATTTTTCACAGACTTCATTCCTTCAGCAGACACTGGGCGAGCCTCTAGAGTCGATAGATATGCAGGGGCTGGTGGTAGATTGAACTGAATAGGAAGGGTTAGCGAGCAGGAGGGGTGAAGTATTCCTTCATGGATTCCACAAGTATTTACTAAGCACCTACTGGATACATCACTGTTTCAGGTCCCAGGAGATATCTATAATCAAATCAGAGACCTGTCCCTTGAGGAGCTGACCTCCCAAGACTCCGGGGCAATCGAAGAGCTGGAGAGTCAATACCACAGAGGTGACGATGTTGGGAACGGAAGCAATGGAACAAATGTTCGGACAACTTTTGTGCTTAAATATCCATAAACTAAAAACAGGCCATCAGCGGGTAAAGAGAGGGCTTGCTGCCACAAGCCGCTCTCTGAGCTTCGACATGCACACAACATTAAATATGTGTAATTTTAAAAAGAAAAGAAAGAAAGACTGCAAAGAAAGGGAAGGGAAGGGAGGAAATGCGTCAAAAGCCTTTTTTTTTTTTTTTTTTTTTTTTTTTTTTGTTTGTTTTTTTGGATCCTCACAGAGCCCACACAATTTCACGCTGAACCAGCAGGAGGCAGCAGAGGCCAACAAACAGGCTGCCTGGCGTAAGCCCATCCGCCGCCACCGCTGCTATTGCTCCCTTCTGGGCTTTCACAGCCCGTTCTGCGGCCTCCACCAGCCTCGCCTCCCGTGTCCCTACACTCCAGCCTGGACCAGGCAGCTCCCCTCCTCTCCACCTCAGCCTCTCCGTGGTCTGTCTTTCCCTCCCAGCCTCGGACCAGCCATAGCCCCCCAGTGCCTTTAAATACAAACTTCTCAGGCTATGTAAGGGGCCGGGAGGATCCCTTTAATCCCAGCACTGGGCAGGCAGAAATTCAAGGCCAGGTCTACAGAGCGAGTTCCAGGCAAGCAAAGACTACGTAGACAGACCCCGTCTCGAAACAAACAAGCAAAGAACAAAAGGGGGGGGGGAGGGAAATTCAAAATAAAAATAAATGAGTATAAACTTCCCACGGCCTGCAAGTTTGCATCCTGGGGGACTTTTGGTCTCCCCGCTTAGTATTCTTTACCCCTCCCCCCACTCTGTGATCCACGGGACTGAACTTCTCCCTGCTCCCGCCCCAAAGTAGTTTACTTTAGCTCTCTCTCTCTCTCTCTCTCTCTCTCTCTCTCTCTCTCTCTCTCTCTCTCTCTCTCTGCCTGGAAGAACATAGAATGAATAAAAAGAAAAAGGACGCACAATGCAACAGTTCTTGGCCCCAAGCAAGTGTCAATGGCGATGAGATCCGAGTTAGCTGGGTGGCTTGGGCTGGAACTGGGCAGTGTCCCATCGTCATCATCAGGGTCTTCCCACCTGGGGTCCCTGCCCCCCCCCTTGCCACTCCCGGGACACTGCCCAGTTTCTGAGAGATAGTGGCTCCTTGTTGGACACATGAGGAAGTGGCCGTGGGGAAGGAAGTTGGCTGGGCTGTGTCCCAGAGTGTGTGTGATTCATGGGGAAAACCTGTTCCAAAGCCGCCTGTGGGTTAAAGGGCCAGTGCCCGCTCGGCAGGGTCACGGCATCACCCAGTGTAGACTGGTAAGCTCAAGTGTAAACGTCCATGAACTCCCGAGGGCGCCAGGGTGTGTGTGCAGGCTTCAGGGGGGACCCAGGGGGAACCTCATCGCGCCCCCGTGGGAAATGATGAGCTGGGATGGAGAGAGCGGCTCCACCACAGAGCGCCTGCACAGACGCCACCTGCAGGCTCTAAGGCTGGGACACCCTAGCCCTTTTATTGGGATGTTCTAGTTTCCTTTCCGGTTGCTTTGAGAAAAAGCAAGTTTGGGGAGAAAGTGCGTATTGGCTCACGGCTTGAAAGTCCGGGGT